AAAATTGAATTTGCCAACGTTTTATAGTTTCTTGCATATAACTATGCATGTGAATATTAGGTTCAATACCGATATAGTCTTTAATACGTGTATTGTTATGTAAACATGCAAAATTAATTCCAGTACCACAGCCAATTTCTAAAACATGGTCATGAACAGATGCATGATTAAGAACTTGATTACATCGAATATTCATAATAGCTGTGTCGTTTTCGTTGGAAAGAGCATTCATAGTTTGAGCAAAAACTAGAAAATAAAGTAAAATAAAATTTGCCTACTTTTTTAAATATTACTCCAAATTTTTCTGGTTTAAATTTTATGTTGCAAAGGAACCAGTTTGCAGCAGAATAACACCAAATAATTTTCATGCTCAATAAAACGAAATGAGAACTGAGGAACAAACTAAAAACTTATGCTAAATTATTTATTTCGAATAGACAAAATGATTTCGTAATACGACTTAATGATATATAATGTTAGTGCAGCTTGCAGCTATTCATACTATCTAGTATGGAAGTTTTTTTAAAAATCTTTATCATAGATGACTTGACGTATACGTATTACAATGAAAGACACGAAAATAAAGATCCTTGCAAACTTGGGACATGCTAGTCATTTAATCATAAGTCCTGATTTGTGGTTTACACTGCTTTTAATAATTAAGCTATTTACAATAAGATTTTATTGATACTTACATTTCTCTCTAGCAGCATCATTAACCTTCAAATAACCTAATCCAATGGCAATGAATCCAACGAACACCGATAATAACCAAAAGACAATTTTAATCAGACACTTCATCTTGTCTTAAAAGTAAACTACAGTTTACGTGAATAATTCTTATGTATAAGTCAACATAATTTAGGTAAAGAAAAGTGTATATCAATAGCTTTGAGATGATTCTGCACGTGGTAAGCGCGTCGACAACAAATACAAAGAAAAAAACAACGCAGACGGATATGAAAAATAACCCAAGAGAAGAACGAACAAAAGTCGACGGCGTTTATATGAAGCGACGAGAGGAAAAAAAATATAAGTAGAGTGGAGAAACGCAAATGACTTTATTGCAGTGGAAGAAAAATGTTTTGCTTTTTTTCTTCAGATCATAGACGAATGAGTAACAAGGGTGTGGGTGGGTGTGGGTATGGGTGAGGATTGAATTCAAGAAAAGATGTACACCCACACCCCTTTTTCCTTTAAAAAATAACCTATTTCAAAGTGAATAAATAATATTTTCTATTTTTTTTTTAAATAACATCTTGTTAATCTTTTTCGCTTCCATATGACTAAACTAATACTAGGAATCAAAAGATCCACAATAGGGAATACAGAAATCCATGTTTTTAATGTTGATGTAGTTTTATCTTCATCTAATAACACGAATATTTCATGATAGATTCATAAAATTTCTAAGTAACTTTTTGTTTGAAATGATTTTGAAAGTACATAAGTACGACCAGTACTTGTACAACTACCAACAATAACTCTAACAAAATTATTCTCAAAGCGAAAGATAAAATAAAAACAAATGAATAAAATTATAAATTTTATTTGGTTTGGGCTACTCCATCTATGGCATAGAAGAATCATAATTATTCGAACATCAGGTTTCATTACCAATTATTATTACGATGTTTGTTATCATATCTTTGAACTGTGCTAACATAAAAATAAATATGAAGAAATTTCAAAATATTGTTTAGATCAACGTACATACATTTATTTACTAATAAGTATAGAGAAATAATTTGAGGTAAATAATCGATTGAACGATTTTCAAAAAGGATCATAATATGGATCCAACAAGATTTAGATTAGTTTGAATTATGTTTTGATCTGTAAAATTTGGAAAGAAAGATTTATATTTTTAATTGTAATATGAAAACATAAATTATTTGCTACCTTGGCGCACGTAGATCAAATAATACGTAATGATACCATATTCATTAGAAAATGATGATTGATAAATCTCAATTACATGATGTTCAGCTGTTAATGTATCATCATATACTGACAAAATGTTCATGTGTAATCATTCGAATATTTATGATTGTAATTAGATTTCTTTGTTATAAAAATAGCATGTATAATTACATTCAAGAATCTCAACGAAATCTAAGAATCTCGTACAAGAATATGTTGTTATTGTTGAATTCGAACATGGATATGTTCTATTGTCATCATCAACAATACATATTAACTCAAAAGAATAAAAATCACTTTGGAAAACTACAGTCAAATTAATAACACTTGTGTTAAAATAATTCAATCCATTATATAATATTGGTTCAAGATCTAAAAAAAACGATACATAATTAAAATAGTGAAGAAATATTATGAAAGATTTTCAGTTACCTACTGTTATCGAAATTAAATTCATCAGATATTCTGTCTTCTGAAATTCTCTTTTATAGTCTTTGCTTGACATTTATATTTAATTCCTCGTAAAATTTGATTGAAATTAAATTACAATGAGAACAATTTCCAATAATATGCATTAAATATATATTATTATGTAAACAAAGTTCATCTAATTCATAATAAAAAATGTTACTTCGATGATAATATATATCTATGTTGACGAGAAAAATACATAAATGTTTTATTCTTATGTATTGAATCTTCAACAAAAATAAAATTTGTTACTTTATTATTAAGATCTAAAATAATGACAAATAAGAGAAAAAATTCAAATTAGACTTATCTTTACTTGTTTTGTAAACTTGATAGAGAATTTCTTCTTGAAAAATGTTATCAAGTGTTCAGCGTCTGTCTCATCTGCTATTCGAATAGGTAATCAAATTAATGATGCAATATAATTTGAACTTGATTCAAGATTAAAACATGTTTAAGTACATTCGTTTGAAATAGTAAAAACAAGAGATTTTCTATGAGATATATTAAGACAATTATTTATTAAAATTGATGCTGTTCGTTGATATTCATTAATAGCTATTGTGATAGATGTAGAAATATAAAGAGATAACGGTTTTCAAGTGATAGTAAATGTTTCATTAACAATATTTTTATTTGATATTTATTAGAATCTAAATATGAAATATTTTTCTTTCATGATCAACATCAAGAGTAGATTGCATAATGTAGAATTGATAACCAACATGAAAAATGTATTTGCTGAAACTGTTTATTATGGATCTTATTCTTTTGTGAGTGATTATCACATTACGTATATTACTCTTTCAACTTTTATATTTAAGAGAAATCTTCCGTTGGCTTGTTTTTATTTTTGTTTTGGTTTCATTCTTGGCAAGAATAAAATAACAGTACAAGGAAAAGAAGGCTGCTTCGAATCGTAAAAAGAAAGCTGAAATTAATAACAATAAAAGGCTACATCAAAACAATAAAAATGAAAACTGTCGAATATCGACATAAGTGGGTTTTTTTCTATGAAATTTATATGAATACGAGTTTTGTTTTGGAATAAAAACAAAGTCATGATTGTAACTGCATTTTTCTTCTTGTCTATTCATTAGATTGTCATTCATGCCCAAGGAAACACATTTTCAAACAAAATAAAACAACTAATCGTAGAACCTGGATGCTAAATACGTGCTTTCTGTTTTTAAATTGTAACCATCAACTAAATCAAATAACAATAGCTTAGAAAAATCATGTTTTTAGTGGACTTTTTTCAAATATTTTTCTTTCCTATTTTCGAGTAATATTTGTCAAAATTCAATCTAATCAAACCTCTGATATCTATAAGTTACAGATTGTTTTATTTGTTGTTTTTTCGATTAACCACTTCAGTTTTATTCAAGATAAACTATAACGAAAGTCTTAAGGACTCCCCACCCCCTCAGAAAATCCATTTTTTCGGTGAAAGCTCGAAGAGGAGTTTTTACCATAGAAAGATGCAGTGAAATTTCCTCTTTCAGAATCTACATAGCTTTTCCCCAAAAGGTCAAATTTTAACAGACTTTCAAAGCAAACTGACTTAACTATAGTGTTTTTTTTCAGAAATTTTCGCGGCTTTTTAAGAATTTTTCAGTTTCGAGAAAGCTGTTTTTTTATTTATCTTACCATTGAATAAATAGTTCTTTTTATTCAAATATGACCAATGTCAACAGTGTATATCGTTAATTATGTACTTTAAAAAATTCCACAGACATATATTGTAAAAAATGCTATGTAAATACGGTTTTCTTTTGATTTGGAATGAAAAAATCGATTTCTAAACTTATTTATCGTTTTTCTCAAAACGAGATTTTCAGACAGAAAAATGGAAATAACTCTCACCCAGTTCAAGATATACTCAAGATATTTTTTTATTTTGAAGATCTCGGTGAGAGTAAACTTTTGTCTGAACAGATTTTTTATATTTGATTCCTGTGTTGAGAAAAGTGGGATTTACCGTCGTTGGATCACCGTTTCTCATGCTGATTTTAAGACATGTTTACTAAAATACTAATAAAAAATGAATAATAGAGAACTTAAAAAGTTCTTTTCAGATAAAAACTGTGCGCTGACATGTGCTTTAATTTCAAACCACCCCAAACTCTGTATCTCTTATAGCAACGAAGTTATAGCGTTTCTTCCGAAGCTCAAAANCAGAGTGCTCATTATCATTTAATTGAAAAAAGTTTACGCGAAAAATATAATTCAAATATATTATCACTACGGCGACCATTTCCAAAATATATTTATTTTGTGTTCCCCTTTAATGACGTTTTGCGAATATTACGATATCTATTGCTTAAAGAATTATCCAATAGAATCATTACTTTCGTCGGACTGAATGATTGGGTTGGGCTAGCTTCCACGACCTATTTCAATGTCACGTTGTAACGTCATGTAAGAGACTATATCATTCGTTGACGATGTTTCAAGTGGACGATGCCATTGATCTTTTATTTTTTTAACGAGTTCATCTATTCTATTCCACAATGACAAAAGTTGTTATAAACAAACAATGGATATAAATATATATATGTATATATATACCTTATTTTTGAGAAGTGTCATAGTCAGAATAAAATATGAGTCGATCGAATCTTAATCTATTGGATTTACCTGACGAAATATTACTTCTTATTTTGAAAAAATTGAACAATATGGATGTTCTTTATTCATTTATCAACATTAATAATAAACATTTAAATAGTCTAGCACAAGAAAAAATCTTCAGTTCAACTCTCAATTTTGTATCCATCGATAATGTTTCTGTAATTGATCAAGAGAAACTGGATCGATTTTGCAAGGATATATTACCAAAGATTCATGAAAATGTGAAATGTTTTATTGTTGAACCACTTTCAATGGAACGTATTCTTCTTGCTGGTGAATATCCAAATCTAACTGAACTTAAACTTTTTAACTTCACACAAGAAATTGATTTAAATTATTTTACAAGTAAGAAAAATAATAGATAATGATGTTAAATAGGATAGGTTATAGAATATTTTTATTATTTATTTAGATCAATCATCTCTTCGATGTATCTTTCAACAAAAACTTACACATCTTACTATTATAAATAATGACGAACGAAAAGAGATAGAATCATTGAAAAATTATAATCGAAATGTATATGAATATATCTTGAAGTTCTTTAGAAATTTAAAACATTTGAGTATTATTGAAACACAAAATCGATCATATCCACCTTTATTACTCTGTGATTCACCATCAATTAGTTTTTTCTCTACAACTCTTACTTATTTATGTATCAATGTGAACACATTTGATGATTGTCTTTATTTACTTGATGATCGATTAAAACACTTAACTACACTTATTGTTCAAATATGTAAAATAAGCAAATCTTCATCACTCATTTACAATATGGTAAGTTTTAACAAAGAATATCAACAATAAATGAAGTTGACTATCAATTTTATACACTTTTGTATTTATAAATATTCCTTTTTTTTATTGTATAGGATAATTTACCTAATTTGAAATGTTTTTCATTGAAATGTTATCTTCAACTTGATATATATGATGAGAAAATTCTACCTCTTCTTCATCGTATGACATATCTGGAAAAATTAACTTTATATCTTTCTATAAAAAATCGAAATACATTTATTGACAGTTCTCATCTTCAAAATGAAATTCTTCTTTATATGTCATGTCTTCATTCATTTACTTTTTATATTCGTACTTATGATCATGACTACTGATATAATTTATGATATTAGCCATATATTGTTGGTGTCCAATATTTGTAGTAATTCGTTGAATATCTTGTCTAGGCACATAACGAAATAAATCAGCAGCATGATCATAAGTACGAATATAAAAAGTAAATGAATGAAGACATGACATATAAAGAAGAATTTCATTTTGAAGATGAGAACTATCAATAAATGTATTTCGATTTTTTANAACGAAAGACTCTCAACTACATTTTTGACCTATTTTCGTACATCGATTAGCAGCTTTGGAACGAATGACAGGATTTTGTTATTAGCTAGAGTAGGGCGGAGAAGTGAATGAATGTTCGACCATGGTGAATTTTGTTCTCGAAGAAAAACGATATATTTTGAATTCAGGTTCAGAAATTCAGTGTGTTGAATGGTTTCGTTATTACACACTTTTTTTACGATCTCGATCATTGTAACTAAGTACTATGTCCATAGATTTATCCTTCATAATGGTGTTTCTTTATTTTATGGCAACTGATTGGTTTTCATTTCAACAATTTTTTATTTTTCATTCTTCATGGTAATGGATCGTGTTGTACTAGCTGCACATCGATATCGTTATCATTAGATCGCGTACTAATCATATCGTGTCTTTTTCTATTTTTATTTTCATATTAATAAACACACACAATGGAGCGACCATGGAAATATGAGAATGAAATGGACTGAAAGTTAAAACAACATTCGATAACTATGATTCAATTGGACGATGCATTGATATTTCATTTTTTTCAATGAGTTCATCTATTCTATTCCACAATGACGCAAACTGTTATAAACAAACAATGGATATAAACATATATATATATATACCGAGAAAAGTGTTGTAGTCAGAATAAAATATGAGTCGATCGGATGTTAATCTATTGGATCTACCTGATGAGATATTACTTATTATTTTGAAAAAACTGAATAATATTGATGTGCTTTATTCATTATTGGACGATAATAATAAACATCTATATAGTCTAGCACAAGAAAAAATCTTCACTAATACTCTCAATTTTGTATCCATTGATAATATTTCATCAATTAATCAGCACAAACTTGATCGATTTTGCATTCATATCTTGCCAAAAATTCATCAAAATGTGGAATGTTTTATTGTTGAACCAACCTCAATGGAATGTATTCTTCTTGCTACTCATTATCCAAATCTAACCGAACTTAAACTTTTCAATTTCAATCAAGAAATCGCTTTAAATTATTTTATAAGTAGTAAAAATAACAGAAGAATAATGTTAAATAGAATACAATTGTATGCTTTATTATTTCTTATTTAGATGAATCATCTCTTCGATATATCTTTCAACAAAAAATTACAAATCTTATTCTTGTAAATAATGACGAACGCCGTGGGATAGGATCATTGGAAAACTATACTAGAAATGTTTATGAACATATCTTGAAGTTCTTTAAAAATTTAAAACATTTGAGTATTATTGAAACACTCAATCTACCATATCCACCTTTATCAATCTGTGATTCACCATCAACTATTTTTTTCTCTTCCACTCTTACTCATTTATATATCAATGTGAATACATTAGATGATTGTCTTTACTTACTTGATGGTCGACTCAAACAATTAACTACACTAATTGTTCAAATATCTTACATACACAAGTCTTCATTAATCATTCACAATATGGTAAGTTTTGACAAAGAATGTCAATCATGAAATGAAGTTGTCTAACACTTTTATACACTCTTATATTTATAAATGTTTCTTTTTATCGTATAGAATAATTTACCTAATTTGAAATGTTTTTCATTCAAATATTATCGTCCAATTGATAACTATGATCAGAAGATTTTACCTCTTCTTCATCGTATGACATATCTGGAAAAATTAACTTTATATCTTCGTATAAAAAATCGAGGTACATTCATCGATAATACTCATCTTCAAAATGAAATTCTTTTTTATATGCCATACCTCCATTCATTTACTTTTTATATTGGTACTTATGATGATACTGCTGATTTATTTCGTTATGTGCCTAGACAAAATATTCAACACATTGCTACAAATACTGGACATCAATGTGTGACTAATATTGTAAAGTATAACAGTAATCGACAAGCTGTATGTTGTATCTTCTCACTTCCTTTTGTATTTGATCATCTTCACGATATTGGCAACATATTTCCAGATGTTGTATTCAAATATGTTACGTATTTGCTGCTACAAGATGTAGTTCCATTCAATCATGAATTCTTTCTTCGGATTGCCCGATCTTTTCCATTTTTGGATCATTTGCGTATTATAAATCTTGAATCACAGTCGTTGTGTAATATTAACTCACTTTCGTCTAATGATAGCCAATCATATTCAATCGTTAAATATCCTCATCTTACTACACTTAACGTGAGAAATGGAAATATTGACTGTGTTGAAGAATTTCTAAATGAAACAAAAGCATTTGTACCATGTCTAACTAGATTAATAATTAAATATAATGACTTGAAGATTGTCACAAAAAACTTTACAAGTGAAGAAACACGACGCAATTGTTCGACGATAAAAAAACTTTATGCGATGGATACATTAGATTTAACTCATTATTCTCATTATTTTCCTTCGTTATAAATGAAAATTTGTTTTGATTTGTTCAATAAATTGAAAAGCATAATAAATGTTGTCTTTCAATGAACGATACAATTAAGATATAAAGAAATATCGATTATTAATGATGTTATACTAACAGTTAATCTTACGATGATGATACATACAAAAAGGATTATAGAAGATATTCTATAAACAGTTCTGGTATGTTGTCAGACCCCAGATGACTGACATTTTATGAGCAGAAGGTACTTTGGTTAACGATTTCGCCGGAAAAGGTCCTATGTTGTAATTTAGGCATCAAAAAGTTTTATACTGGATTTGAAATCGAATGAGATACCTCCTATTACTGGCAAGTTTATGTAACTATGTTTTTAGATTGAAAACATTTTGCTTGTACTGCTCTCTATAATTTTTGCCAAAGTAATTATTCGGAGAATGACAGGAATATGTTGATGCCAGTAACGAGCATATAATAATTGTGTTTGTTTTTCAGTTCCGGAGCATATTATGTAAAAATATTTCGAATTTATTTTTTCCAGCAAGATTTCTTATAGATATCGCTAGTGAGAAGTGCATCTGCTAATAAAAACAAAAAAGAAACGTCTTTTACTGTGTCTGACAGTACTATTCTAAGAATCAAATCTTTATGTTTCGTTCGTATCTTTGTACATCTTAAAATGAAGTTTTAGGTACATTAGGAGAACTCGACCCTTTAGACAAATGAAGCAAAAGACAGTTTAAGAGATCTTCTCTAAAAATTGATTTTTTAAAATGATTTTTGTAGTTCTATTAACCGATGGGAGTGGGATTGATGCTTTGTTCTCAAAAATAGCTTTCAGTTTCGGTACGATGGAGATCGCACTGAATGTTCAAGATATATCGAAGGTATAGAGAAGAGACGATAGTAATATCTTTTGCTTAATATCATGATGCATTTATAAAATATTACCCAAATGAAGTTTTATAATCAATCAATTTCTAAACGAACTTTCTTCGACTTACCATCGTAATTAGTAAGTTCTTTATTCGTTCAATGGATGTATCTTTATGCAGAGCCTGATTTAGTTCTCTTTCCAATTATTACGTCCGATGCATGAGAATGGAATCAAAAGTGTAATCTTGTAAGAAAATCGGTAAAAATGGATTCATTTGAAAGAGACATGCTTTCGCATATGATAAAAATAAAGTTAATAAAGAAAACAAAAGGCCAACTGCAGTCCGCTTTATAGCTATAGCTATACCTACTTTGTCAAACAAAAAAGACTACTTCGATAGAATGAGTTTTATTTCAGAGTTCTCCATTGATTGATAGAAAAATCTTAAACTGAGAAGGAAAAAAAACATGTTTCGGACAACCTCACCACAATAATTGGTTGCATATGAGATAAACAATAACTTTTCTAGTAAAGGAACAATTAAATATTAGCAAACATAGCTGATCGATCAACAATTACGTCGATTATAAAAACTCATGTCTGTGACTTTGAAACATATTTGCAGTTAAAATCGATTTTCAATATAAAGATGGACTTTCGGGGGTCAGCTGAAAAATTACTTATAAGAACCAGAAAAGATGATTGATAAGTCTTTAAATTATTTTGATTATGAAAGCTTAAATGATGGCCTAATGTAACCTTGTCTAATCTTAAAACTAAGTATTTTTGATGATGACCACCTTTTCTTTCACAAAATAAGTAGCTTTAACTGAAACAATTACCGAATCTGAATAGAAAGCTTCAATATGTCTTTGCAGCTGGAGATTATCATATTCTGCTGATACGAATATTTTTGATACTTACTCAATTAGTGATGGGATCAATTCTTGTTTTGGTTTTGATAAAGTAGTTGGAAGCTGTTGCATAGGGTTGATCAATGAATATTTATGTTGAATTTCTTTCAACTGAATGATATTAAGACCATTGTCTTGATTAAGACAACCTATTACTTGACATTGATGACCAAGAGGAAGTAGAACTTTTCCTTCTTCAAGATGAAGCAAATATTATTTAATAGTTTTGGTCGAATAACATTCAGTGTTGAACAATGTTCTTGTTCGACTGTCATCCAAAAATCGTTCATTGCTCAAAACATCAACAGACATTGTGCACGATAAAAAGCTTCGCCATGTAACTATACATCATTTTGGATGTTGTGCGTTTAAATCCAGCTTGATACCACGATAGAATGTAAGATGTTTCAAGTCTGATGGAAGTTTGACCAAAATTGTGATAATCAGCCAAAGATAAAGAAACCATGGCCTCTGTAACTGTCGATTCGCTGCTTGTAAAGTGTTATTAAGAATGATATAAAAAGATTTATTTCTTGGTTGCCATTCCATTATGTAGCGCAGTATTGATGCTAACTTATCATGAATCAAACCATATTCTCCTTCAAAATGATTTTGTTTCACTGTCCAAGTCATTCATTCGACTTCTGGAATAAGTGAAATAAGAGGATTAATAGATTGTTGCAGCTTTGAATGAGTGGAAGTATTCGTCATGATTCTTTGGTGAAATCGGAAAAATTAAGAATACATTTTGAGTCATCGATAAATTCAACAGCCATTATGTAAAAGATCTGAAATGAAAATATTTTTATGTTACAGAAAATTTTCCTCCGTTTAAGATATGCGATAAATGGATTTATGTGATCTTCTGTCTCGAAATTCTCTCTTTACTATGCGCTGAGGAACAATAAACTAAGCAAGTATAATGTCAAATACACCAACAGAAAAATGTTATGTTCTTTTTTCAGACATCATCTTCATATATAAATAATTAGCGTCATGAAGTTCTCTTCGTTTATAAGTCAAAAATCAATCTTTACGGAAGTGTTCTATGGCAATAAGAATAAAATAGAACTGCCTAGTTTTTTTTTCATTTTGGAAAAGGTGATATATAAGTCATATTTCCTAAGAAAATATATCAAATACAAGTGAGTGACGTTCATTTTCGTTGTTTTGACATCTACAACGTTTTGTTTTTTTTTTCATTGAAAATTGTTAAATGTGTTTCAACAGATCATATTCTAATGATAGAGGCGAAAAAGATTTACACTAATCGAGCATGAATATAAAGTTTGCATGATCCGATATTTTCGTTCATATGGCACTCTTTCTAATCCATATATTCACAAAGAAAGAGATCTTCGTGGATACAAACTTTATTTAAGTTAGAAAAAGAATCAAAACATCGTTTGAATGCTGTGTTTCATGTGTTATGACCTAAGAAGTTATGTCTTTTGAAAAAAAAAAGAACAAAATGTTAATCGATGTGATTTTTTTGGGAAATGTTACTTGAAGTTTAGAATTGTTTGTGTTAGTTAATATTATTTAGTATTTTTTCAATAAAATTTATGTATATTCTATATTGGATTTTGATCATACAAGACATAAATATCTGAGATTTGTTTTTTTTGAACACGTTTTTTTGTAAATATATTTTCTGCATAAAACTACGTGATGTAAGGTAATTGATAAATGTACATAACATAAATATCTTTAGTCGTTTATGATTGTTAATCAAACATGTTTCTCCTTATCAATTATTAATTCCGATTAAAAATTGATGAAATCTTTTGTAAATAGCTTGATTTATTTCAAAGATATCATTTTTTTGCATATGTGAATTCTTTAAAAAAAGGCATATTTTGTTTTCTATAAATTAGGATATAAAATGATACCACTTGATCATTCCTATTTATTACTGGCGTCACCAAGCTAGGGCAGGGTTGGGCCGCGCTCAACCACAGAAATTGTTAGCCCAACCACCGGGATTTTTCTGGTGACGCCACTACTATTTATAGTGCAATAGTTACGGTGTAGATGTGAAGAATTAATGCGCATCAAGCAGCCGCTGCATTAGTCATATTGAATATCATTTTCATCGTGTGTAGTGAGATTTAATTAGAAAAAAAACGATTGTGGAAAATATTGGATAGCATCATGTGGTATCGTTAATTTCTGAAAGATGTATGTAATAGAGGATAAAGCGAATATATAACGATTGAAACTGGTTTTTATTTACGTTGAAGGAATCTTTTTGACTGTATTTTGTAATGGTTCATAATGTATTTTTATAAAAAGAAAGACATCAAGGAAGAAGAAAAGAGAAAATGGATGACTGTCTTTCATTGGTTAGAAAAATAAGAAGATTCAGCTAAAGTGTTTGTTTTCGCAAACACACAAATGAATGAAGAAGTTGAAAGTTGAAAAAAAATATTGATCTGTTGCAGTTAACCAATTGCGATTAAATGCGAAAAGGTAATAAGTATATGACGCGGCGACTATTCGCTGTACCAATAGGATTGCAGAGATCAGTTAATATTTTTTTTTTCATTCTAAAAAGATGCTATCTGCAATGGTATGTTTTGTTTCATTGGTTGATTTGCATCTATTGAAGAATTACATGGCACTATATTAATCATATTTTTCAACTCGAACTCAAAGCTATTTCTAGAACTGTTTTAATGTAACTATGGAGCTTAGAAGTAAGTATCGAATATATTACATATTCTGTTAATATTTATCTATATAGAAGACAAGAATACCATGCTAGTGCCACCAGATACAGAAGTTGTCTTCTGTACCGAATCATTGAATTGTACTTCAGTTGGAAATACAAATATACCAGCAGATCAAGAAGAAATCAATGGTTTTGATCTTAAAAATTTCAAACAAAGTTATCATATAAATAGAAAATTCTACCTTAATCAATGCTCGTGTATTTAGCTTCTTCTCAATCCTTTTGAACAATTAAAGATATCTAGAGATGATCAAATTGATGCTCAGATTTCACTTAAAAATTGCAGTATTAAGATAGAACATGAAATGTTTTCACTTTATATGTAACAAAAATAAATAAATTGTTAATTTTATTCTTTGATTGGTTTAAGGACGATCTTATAATGATTGGTTGTCGTACACATATATAGATAAATGGATTTATTCGTCTCTTCATATCTTGCTTCCATTCGTTTCCATTCGCTTCAATTCTATTCACATTCAGTATGGCAGCTGCTGATTCAACAAGTGATGTGTCATCTTCTTTTCTTTATAATATTCACAACAAATATCATGTATGATTAGTATATATGATTGAAGTAAATGGCATTTATAAAGGTGCTTACTATTAACCAACATTAAACGTAATTGGTGCTGTTGAAAGTCGAACATTTGAAAGAATGATCGATGATGNAACAATGGTTTGATTTGAATGAGGTAAAGTAATTTGATAGTTTTCTTTTTGTTCAAAGAAAATTGAAGAAAGAAATAAACAAAATAAGAGTTAATATGACACTTTTGCAGCAAATTTTAGTACTTGTAAACAAAACGGTAGCATATTAATAGTAAATTGATACAATAATTATTCTATTTTTACATTATGCAATACCATTCATAACTTAATAATAAAGTACTGAGATACATATCTCCATAATCCAAAATCAATAAACTTAATACATACGTATCGAGAGTAAAAGAGTTCTGAAATGTATATTGAATGATGAGCTACTTTCAGCATTCAATAAATTCAAAAAAAAACATTGAATATGTTTTAAAAATCGATTGATATTTGTATCTAATTAAAAGTTTTTAGTAGAATAAAGGAAGTATTCTTTTCGAATAAAAATATATAAATTGAATTTGAAAGTTCTTCCAACTGGCTACATACTTTTATAAATGTTTGCTTTTGCGATAAATTTCCAAATGGAGTATTGATTCATAGCACTGTACCATAAGCGTAGTATTTTAGTTATTAATCATTGTAATGAACTAAATGAGGAATATCGATAAGATCTTGTTTTTGTCCAAAATATTTTTGAAACAGAATCATATATGGGTGTGGGTCAATGAGAAGGGAAACACTCACACCCCACACCAAATTTACCTGCTTGCAAGTCATCTGAGCACAATATTCTAGTTCAGAGTTGCCGATTGTTTTGAACAATGGGAGGAGCTAAAAATTAGCCAGAAAAGCTGAAAATTTTGGCAGAAAGTGAACAAATGATCTTGAGTTGATCGGTTTTCTGCGAGATTTTGTTGACAGAAAACGTTTCTACCAGAAAAATGGCGAACAGTGGTTAGAAAACATGTTTTCACCAGAATATACCATGATATTTTTAAAAATTTCGAAGAAAGTCGGACTTGTTTTCAATTTTTGGTGGAGTATAGCCCCTCCCATCTCACCCCTAATCGGTAACTGTGTTGTAGTCAATACGATTCCATAGAAAAAAATCTTCCAAACATGATTAAGAATGTTTTTTCTTCGAGTGAGTAAGCGTAGCTTGAAGACATTCTTGGCATTCGTTTGCAACAAGTGCTGAATTTTTTTTCTTTTGCTGTTTCTTACAGTTAGCTTTTGTTGATTAAGATCAAGAATATAATATATTACCGTTACATCATATTGTATTTTATTTCATTATTGAATTTTCCTCTTCATATTAATACTTTCATTTTTTTCAACGAGTTCATCTATTTTATTCCACAATGACGAAAGCTGTTATAAACAAGCAATGGATATAAACATATATATATCTTTGTTTTTGAGAAGTGTCGTAGTCAGAATAAAATATGAGTCGATCGAATATTAATCTATTGGATCTACCTGATGAAATATTACTAATTATTTTGAAAAAACTGAACAATATTGATGTTCTTTATTCATTTTTGAAAGTTAAATAATAAACATTTGAATAGTCTAGCACAAGAAAAAATCTTCAGTAATACTCTCAATTTTGTATCCACCGATAATGTTTCTTCAATTGATCAACACAAACTTGATCGATTTTGCAAGGATATATTGCCAAAAATTCATCAAACTGTGGAATGTTTTTGTTCTTGAAGCACTTTCAATGGAACGTATTCTTCTTGCTGCTGATTATCCAAATTTAATTCAACTTAAACTTTTTAATTTCACGCAAGAAATTTGTTTAAATTATTTCATAAGTAAGAAAAATAACAAAGAATGATGTTAAATAGAACAGACTATAGAATATTTGATTATTTCTTATTTAGATGAATCATCTCTTCGATATATCTTTCAAGAAAAAAAAAACAAATCTTGTTCTCGCAAACAATGATGAATCGGATGGGATAGAATCATTGAAAAACTGTAATAGAAATGTATATGAACATATCTTGAATTTCTTTAAAATTTAAAACATTTGAGTATTATTGAAACACTCAATCCATCATATTAACCTTTACTACTCTGTGTTTCACCATCAATTAGTTTTTTCTCTTCAACTCTGACTCATTTATGTATCAATGTGCACACATTAGATGATTGTCTTTATTTACTTGATAGTCGACTCAAACAATTAGCTACACTAATTATTCGAATACGTGCCACAAGTAAGTCTTCATCAATCATTCACAATATAGTAAGTTTTAACAAAGAATGTCAACCATGAAATGAAGTTGACTACCAATTCTATATACTTTTAGATTTATAAATATTCTTTTTTATCGTATAGGATGATTTACCTAATTTGAAATGTTATCGTCTAATTGATAAATATGATGAGAAAATTCTACCTCTTCTTCATTGTACGATATACCAACGAGGTACATTTATCGATAGTTCTCATCTTCAAAATGAAATTCTTCTTTATATACCACGTCTTCATTCATTTACTTTTTATATTAGTACTTATGAGAATACTGCTGATTTATTTCGTTATATGCCTAGCCAAGATATTCAACAAATTGCTACAAATATTGAACACCAACAACATATAGCGAATATCATAAATTATGTCAGTAGTCATGAAGCTGTATGTTCTATCTTCTCACTTCCTTTTGTATTTGATCAGCTTCAAGATATTGGCAATATATTTCCAGATATTGTATTCAAATATGTTACGGATTTGGTGGTAGAAGATGTAGTTAAATTCAATCATGAATTCTTTCTTCGAGTTTCCCGATCTTTTTCATTACTGTATAAACTTTGTGTTATAAATCTTAAATTACAGTCATCGTGCATTATTAACTCACTTTCATCTGACGATAGCCAATCATATTCAATCGCTAAATACCCTCATCTTACTACACTTAACATCAGACGTAGAAATATTGACAATGTTGAAGAATTTTTAAACGAAGCGACAACATTGGTACAATGTCTAACTAAATTAATAATTAATTGCTATGACTTGAGAATTGTCACAAAACACTTTACAAGAGAAGAAATACAACACAATTGTACGAAGATACAGGAACTTTTAATGCTCAGCCTATTGATACAGGTGAAAGACTTATGTCATTACTTTCCTTCGTTACAAAATAAAATTTTGTTTTGCTTTGTTCAATAAATTGAAAAACATGAGAAATGTTGTATTTCAATGAACGATATAATTAAGATATAAAGAAATATCGACTATTAATGATGTTGTACTAACAGTTAATCTTAAGATGCTGATACTTAGAAAGAGGATAATAAAAGACATTATGTAAACAGCTCTAAGAATCAAATCATTATGTTTCGTTCGTATCTTTGCACATTAGGAGACCTCTACCCCTTTGGACAAACGAGACAAAAGATAGTTTAGAAGCTCTCCTCTAAAAATTTACTTTTTTAAACGATTTTTGTAGATCTATTGACCAGTGGCAGTGAGATTGATGCTTGGTTCTCAAAAATAGTATCCGACTTCTGTACTATGGGAATCGCATTGAATACTCAAGATATATTGAAGGTATAGTGAAGAGACGGTAGTAATATATTTTGCTCAATATCATGATGTAGACCTAAATGAATTATGAATACCCTAAAAGAAGTTCGGGTAGTTAGCTTATTGCTACGGAGATATTGCACTTTTATAGTATTGTTAAATAAATGCCGTGGTTCCTCTGAGGAATATAGAAAAACTGATTTTCAAATTTCGACTTGAAACTTTGCACAGAGACAGGCCTTAATAGGAACAGTTTAATTGTCCATGTTTCAGGTTTTTTCGTTGTCTCTATCTTAATATACGGCTATAATAAAATTACTCATATACATGGGCACCTATCTCTATGCAGTGTTTCAAGTTGAACTTCAAAAATCAGTTTTTCTGGTACCCCTGAGAGGGACCACAAAATTTATTAAAAATATACTAAAAAAGTGCAATATCTTCGTAGCAATATGCTAACTACCCGAACTTTTTTCAGGACATTCATATCTCATTTAAGTCTACATGATGCACATAGTCTTGGCTCAAAAGTGATTGAACAGTTAGTGATCCTCCCTCGTAAGTGTTTTTTGGAGGTAACCACCATGTTTTCATAGAGAAGATAGCCTTAAGTGAAACAACTACCAGGTGTCAGCATAGAGTATCAATATGTCTTTGTAGCTTGAGATTGTCACATTTTGGTCGTGCAAATGGTTTTTGGTACTTGTTCAACGAATGACGAGATCGATTCTTCTTTTGGTTTTGATGACATAGTTGGAGGCTATTGCACAAGATTGATCAATGAATATTTGGTTTAGATGTCTTACAACTGAATGATATAAAGAGTGTTGCCTTGGTTAAGGCAACTCATCACTTGAAATTGACGAACAGGAGGAAGTAGAATGTCTTGTGGATAATATGAATGCTTTTTGACACTTTGACCCAGAAATTGTTCATCACTCACAATATCAACAGATGTTGTGCATTGATGAAAAGCCCCACCATGTAACGGTACTTTCTTGTGAATATTGTGTACTTAAATTCAGCTTAACACCACAAAAGACAGTAAGATGATTCAGATCTGATGGGAGTTGGACTAAAACTGTCATAATTAGCTGAAGATACAGGAACCATGGCTTCAATAGCTGTCGATTCGCTGCATGTAAAGTGTTATTAAGAATGATATAAAACGATCTATTTCATGGCTTCCATTCCATTGTACAAAGACGGATTGATATTGATTCATCCTCAGTCAAACCATGTTCTCCTTCAAAGTGACTTTCTTTCACTGTCCAACTCATTCGTTTGATTTTTGGAGCGAATGAAATAAGAGGATTAATAGCTTGCTTCAAGAAACTAGGAGCATATTGTCGTAGCTCTGAATGGATGGAAGTATTCGTCGTGTTTCTGTCGTGAAATCGGAAAAAAGAAGAATACGTTTTGTTTCATCGACAAATTCAGCAACCATTATGTACAAAATCTAAAATGAAAATATTTCTAAATGACAGAAATTTTCTCCGTTTAAAGTAAGGGATAAATTAATTTATATGATCTCCTGTCTCAAGATTCTCTCTTTTCAACACGTTAAGAGAGCCATAAACCAAGCAAGTATAATGTGAAATACACCAACAGAAAATGTTCTTATTTTCAGACATCGTCTTCGTATATGAATAAAGTTCTCTTCGTTGATAAGTCAAAAGTCAATCTTCACTGGAGTGTTTTATGGCAATAAGATTAAAATAGAACTGCTTGGTTTTTTTCCTTTCGTAAAAGGTCAAATATAAGTCGTATGTCCAAAGAAAATATATCAAATACTAATGAGTGACACTGATTTTTGTTGTTGTGCAGTTTAAAATGCTTGCTGTCTTGCACTGAAAATTGTTAGATGCTGTTTATTGCAACAATTTATACTGTTTAGAATTGATCAACGATTTTATAGAACCAAGAGAACTACTGTAATATAGCTTATTAAATGTTACACACAAACAATTATTAAATTGTACCAACATATGAAGCATGAAGTTTGAAAGCTTGTTCATGTGCATAAAAAAAAAATATCCATTCCGGAATGTGGGTGTGTGTGGGCGTGCGGGTCAAAAAGAGATCACCCACTCACACCTACACCCTAAGATAATCGATCGTCAGACAAAAATATCTGCCATATTTATTTCTATATTTTGAAAAAAATATCTTTTTTCTATTTTTCGTTACTCGCGCTGTTATTTTTTCGGGTGTAGGTATGGATATAGAGAGTGGTCCTCTCTTCAGCATAACAGCCAACGGCTACACTCACACGCTCACCTGATCAAACTCGATTTAAGCAAACAATTTCTTTGACCATGAACAAAATATGAGAAGAGTATATTGATTATTAATTATAGTCTTTTTCGGCTGTTGACTGAACAATCCAGTAGCTGTGCTATTTTCGAGGCAATCCGGTGTGGCTGCCAAAAACGAAAAAGACTGCACTCATATATTTACACACCTGCCTTTCTACACAGAATTCAAGAAATACTTCTTTGATGAAAAAAATGTTAACAGCATTGAAAGCATTCATCAGAAATGTTTCAATGGATCATGAACTCAAAGTCTTTTGGTGTCTGATTGGATATGTTTCAAGATGATATCAAAAATCCTATAATAGTCAACATGAAGAAAATTAACCACGGATAATGATTATTGCAACGAGCGTCGCTAGTTTGTTGGGTTAAAGAAATCGCTCGTAGAGTAAAGCCGGAACTATCGCCCTTCATGACCGAGTCTAACCAACTTTGGTAGTAAGCAACACGAGCATAGACTCCGGAGTAGTTTGCTCTTGCACAACCAATTGCATAGTTGACAATACCAATTACATACCATGTCTTTTCAAACATCATTATTGGACCGCCACTGTCTCCTTGACAAGTACCTGTGAATAAAAAATGTGAGTTTTAGAAAATTGAGACCGACAAAAATGGAAAGAATAAGATATACCTTTACCCCCACCATCAACTCCAGCACAGAAGTGAAGATTTCGATCCATAATTATCGAAGCACAAGTCGGATCCATGTAGGAAACAGTTTTCAGAGTCACTTGTTGAAGAGTACTTGGTATCATCAATAAATTTTCAGATAATTTTCCCCATCCAATAGCAATGACCTTGAAAAAGATATTAAATGGCAATAAGACGATGATAGAACAAGATAATTAAAACTTAGATTGAGGAGGTGGAAATCGAGATAAATGCTTGGGAGACGTGAGACACGCGGAACTTAAATGTTCTTGTGTTGAATAATGGAAAAGAAAAGTAACTATTATTTTTTTTATCTACACTCGTTAAAGTTGATTGTTTGAAATCGAGATGAATTCCGTAGGCTAAGAAGTAGTATGCACTGTCACTAAAAAGACTAATAAATAGTGACTGCTGGTTTTGTACCAATATAGGCGATCTTCACTCATACGTAAATGATTCAGTCACGCAATCACTACATAAAGATGATGATGTGCACATATTGCATAATTATAATACCAGGTTGTTTCAATGATAGAGAAAATACCAACTGTCACTTTTACTAAGTCATTGTTTTTCTGCTTGGTCTTTATAGTAAACATCATTTGTATCTCCTGCTTTTTTTTGCAGCTTGAAGACTCATATGAATATTTCAGCAGCTAATAAATTACATTTTAGAGCAGTCTTATCTCATTACGAAGGTTGTGGGAGGATGTGCTTATGGGTGAATATGAATGAAGAGTAAACATACGCCGGCACCCACCGCCATGTCCAAACATTTCTGAATCGAAAACAATCGTTCTGCACTTCAATCTTAGCATGAACAGATAATCATAATATATGCAAGCTCACAAACTCACCGTAGTGTTAGGAGGAGGCCATTCTTCAGCAGCTAGTACTGCCGCACTGACAGCCGGTAAGCAAATGCTATCTACGCCTGTAGCTTCCAGATTTAGCGGAGTCCTTAGTTTAAGAAGAGCAATATCGTGTATAAAACCACTTGAGTTATAACTATGATGTATGTATACTGTCGATGCCGTTACACTCTGGGTAGCCATAAATCGATTAATGCTTCCGGCATATACCGTAACTGACGTCGATCCTTGAGGTATACAGTGAGCCGCAGTAAGTACCCATGTGCTAGAAAGAATCGACCCACCACATTGCAAACTTCCATTGATTATAAGGTAGACCATCCATCCCCATGTATTTGAACTCGCATCTTCTCCACCCAAGATTCTGTTCAATGTGGCTGAGTTGGCCGAACAGCCACATACAGCACTAGCATTACATGAGTAGGTAGTTTGAGCAGTCAATCGATGCCTTACATAAAGCATAACGAGCACCTTAATATGAATGGAAGAAAACATTCTAGAGAAAAAGACATGAATATCATTTCTGTGGAATTTTAATTTCAAAAGCAAAAGATTCACGAAGAAAGCATCTGCTGACGAGGTAACATTGTCCTTGGAACACACTCTCGCTCTAAAAATTAGCGGTTTTGCCGGGATTATTCAAAGTATTTTGAATTATACAATGCAGTCACAACATTTTAATTTACGATTAAATTTCAACGCTTATAACTATTGACGTTTGCTATCATGTTCATGCATATTTCTCATCAATAAGGATTTATAATATCTCTCTTCCTATTTGCAGCAAGTAATGAGAAAAAAACTATAAGTAAAATAATTATTACTTTTGATTAATAAGATCAGATGATCTAAATAGTAGAAAAATTTTAAGTCAAACAATTCGTGCTATTCATCGATCAAATGCGATTATATAAATAAACATTACAAAGACCAGATGATATATATACAAGAAAATAATTTTTTTATATAATAATACTTGCTATTGAAGTTTGTTGGAAATTCTCTGATTAATCGTGATATTGTAATATCCGAAAAACTGCCAATTAATCATGGTTAAATGGCGAGTTTTTCAAGTATCGCGGTTAATCAGCAAAAATGAAACGATTTCGACGATATGAATGTGGTTGTGGCTGTTGGTACGATTATGGAGTGCAGTGCGTATCTGAGTGGGAATCTCTTACCCATAATCGTCGCCACCATCCACATTCTAAAATCCCTCTATACTACACTCTAAAAAAAAAGGTATTCCCGGAAACCGGCCGAAAAAGGTTTCCGAAGGCTCGGAAACCCATTTTTTACCCTCGGAAACTTTTTAAAGGGTTTTCGAACCTCGGAAACCCATTTTTTAGCTCTCGGAAACCCTTAAAAGGTTTCGTATAGGAACAAACTCGGAAACCGTTATCGGTTTCCGAGTCCTCGGAAACCCTTTCAAGCGTTTCCGAACTTCGAAAACCCTTTTAGGTTTCCGGGTTTGTTCCTATACGAAATCTTTTAAGGGTTTCCGAGAGCTAAAAAATGGGTTTCCGAGAGCTAAAAAATGGGTTTCCGAGGTTCGAAAACCCTTTAAAAAGNTCAAATATGTTACGAAATTGTGGGTAGTAGATGTAATGCCATTCAATCATGAATTCTTCATTCGGATTTCCAGATCTTTTCCATTACTGGATAAACTTTATGTTACAAGTTCTAAATTACAGTTGTCGTGTAATATGAACGCATTTTCATCTGACGATAGTCAATCATATTCAATCGCCAAATATCCTCATCTTACTTCACTTGACGTGATAAATGCAAATATTGACTGTATTGAAGAATTTCTACATGAAACAAAAGCGTATGTACCATGTCTAACTGAATTAATAATTAATTATAAAGATTTGAGACTTGTCACAAAAAACTTTACAAGAGAAGAAACACGACGCAATTGTACGAAGATAAAAGAACTTATGTGCGACATATTGGTACAGGTGAAAGAGTTGTATCATTACTTTCCGTCGTTGTAAATGATATTTTTTTTTTGTTTTTTTTTGTTCAATAAATTGGAAAGTATAAATTTTGTATTTCGATGTACGACATAATTAAGATATAAAGAAATGTCGACTATTAGTGATATTGTACTAACAGTTAATGTTACGATGATAATACTTACAAAGAGGATTACAGAAGACATTCTCTAAAGAGTTCTAAGAATCAAATCATTATGTTTCGTTCTTATCTTTGCATATCTTAAAATAAAGCTTTAGACAAATTAGGAGAGCTACCGCCTCCCATTTAGATAAATGAAATAAAAAAACAGTTTAAAAGATCTTCTCTGGGAATCAATTTTTGTAGCTCTATTGACTAGTGGTAGTCGGATTGACAATTCGTTCTGAAAAATAGTTTTCAGTTTTGATACTGTAGGGATCGTATGGAATGTTCAAGATATATTGAAGGTATAGTAAAGAGATAGTAGTAATATCCTTTACTCAATATCATGAAGCATTTATAAAATATTCGTCGAATGAATTTTTATAATCGACCAATTTCTAACTGAATTTTCTTCGAGTTGTCATCGTAACAGAGGTGAGCACGAGACAGGACATTAAGCAGGATAAACACGATTAGTCATTTTTTTAATAACAAATATTATTATTATACTCCCTGAACAGGTAGAATTAACAACAGAAAAAGCAGTAGAACAATGAGTGGGTCAATAATGTAAGTGTTTTAAATGAAATAGTATTATACACAGAAAATAAAACAAATGCGCTTTAAANAATCATACGATATAGCATTTATCAAAACACATAAAAAGTTGATATGACTAAATTCGATTACTTTTATCGGTGATATTCTCTGTTTATTTACACATATATGCATTCAACGTGCCAAAGATAATTTCTTTTCTTTCTTTGGATCGACGAAATCAAATAGGAAAGGATAAACAATAAAGCACAACGAATGAATCACAATTTTTAAAAAAAATCTTCGATTTCTTTTTCATTGAACTAAAACGATGATATTTTATAAACACACAAGCAAAGTTTTGGATAATATAGATTTAATTATTGAATATCATTTAAATGAAATTGAAATAAATATTAAATGGTGTTCAAAAAATGAATTCAATAAATGGAAAATATCCTATGTTGATGATGAATGTACATTACCATTAAATTCTCCATTATATTATATTTGTTCATCGTCATCATCATCATCACCATCAAAAAATCCATCATTATTAAATTCAACATTTTATCCTTATTGGTTTTTATTAGAAAGTTCATTATATCAACGTCTTTTTTCTCATATAACAAATGATGAAGATCATTTTGTTTTATTAATTTGTTTATCTGATGGTCGAATTATTGCTTTAGCAGAATCACCAAAAGATTCAAAAGCAATTATATGGTATACTTCTTTAAGCTCAAATCCAATAACAATCATTGGTCTTTATTATAATTTAAATAGAAATTTACTTGATGCTGTTTTATCATCAACAACAAATACGAAATTTCCAAAATTAATATTAAATCATTTAATTTTATGTGAATTTATTGGAAGTTTAATTTTATTAAATTCAACAAATCTTCATCGAATACTTCTTGATAATTTAATTAAATCTCCATGTATTTATTTAAATAATTTAATATACATAACAAAAAATGAAATTCGATCAATATCAATTTCAAATTTATTAAAATTATCGAATGAAGATCTTATAAGTCAAACAAAAATTTTAAGATTTGGACATTTTCAAAAATTAATTGTTGGTAAGATAAACGTAATTTCAAATTTCTACATTAGTAAAAAGAACACATTGACTTAACTAGAAAAAAACTAGTTTTCAAATTTTGATAAAACATAAAATTTCGAATATCATTATAAGGTGTGATTAATTTATATATATATACATGATTATCTTTTTTTATTTTCTCTATAGAAAGTTCATAAACATTGACTCTTGATTCTGTATACAAAATTAATTGGGAAATATTTTAAAATGTACTTTTCCCAATTAATTTTCTATGGAAAATCAAAAAACTATCTACAGAACAAATGCAAAGATATTCATTTAAATATGAAAATAAGTCATTCTTTGTAATTTTCATTAAAATTCTATTTAGTAAAAATTTGCATTGACTTTCTTTTTTAATAAAAATCGCAAATTAGTTTTTTTTTCTAGGCTAATCAATAAGCTCTTTTCATCCGTGTGGAAAAAAATTCTTTTAATTTAATCTTAATTGTTTAGATGGACAAGAAATAATTATTTATTATGATAATGGTCGATTTGAACGAGTAAATAATCTTCTTCCAAATCCTTTAAATTTATCACATAGAAATTCTCTATCAAATCAAGCAAAAAAACTTGCATGTTTAACAACAACTATCATGAATTTACAATCAAATGTTTGTTTATTACAAAGAATATTAAACAAAATTGAAATATTTTATCAATTAAATTTAAATAATTGTTTAAAATTAATAAATCAACAATGGAAATTAATTTTAAATGAACAACAATTAAGAATATTTCAATTAAATGATTTTATATTAATTTTAATATGTCATTTATCATCAAATAATCTAAAAATTTATCAATTGAATCCAATAAATGATTGGATATTTAAAATGAATGATATAATTTCGATGACATACATTTGTCAACCAATACTTATTTTTCGATATCAAAATCAATTTCATTTTCAATTAGCTCCAAAAAGAATTATTTTATCATTACAAGAACAAATTCAACAAGATCAAATTTCATTTGAAAATTATTTTACAAATAAATTTAAATCATCGAAAAATAATAATTTATCAATTCAACAATATCATTTGGCTTTAACGATTCGAAATGATGCTGCAAGATATTTTCAAAGTAAAAAGAAGCTATTGCTGCGTAAAGATTTTGTCAAAGAGAAAATCGAAAATTATTTTCACTCTACTTTTTTTTAGTTTTGACAATTGTAATTTCACTAATTATTACTTGATTTACTATTTCCAACCGAAAAAAACACAATTAATAGCATCGCTAGGTTTACCGTAAAATGTTAATACCAAAAGAAAAGAATACAGCAATAGATGTTTTACAAAGTAGATTTAGTCTGAGAAAAATTAAATCTTCATATGATTTTATTTTACGAATATTCATTTCATAATTTTTTTGTCGTAGGATGAAAGTCAATAGATGCGATATTTCAAAAACTATCATAGAGACCTGTACGAACTTTTCTTTTTCGTCTCGTTCTCGTAGGTCTTTTGAATTCATATGTATTGATATGTAATGACCTTGCAACTTTCGCTATATATATATATATATATGTTGTGAATTAATTGAAAAGTCAACGAGTATCTGATAGTAAAGAAAAACTGTTAGTGAAATCCCTGTGGTATTAAAATGTAAAACACTTTGCAGCAGCTAATGTTGCAAGAGAGGAAGTTCCTCAACATATGTTTCGGTTTATGAAGATATCACGATCTATGTTGAGTCATTGTTAAGGTGTTTACCAAGTTTGTAAGGGGGGAAATTCAAATTTCCGATCCTATACTTCAACTTTCCTTTTAGCTCGCGATTCACAAAAGATCAGTTTTTGTACAACACAAAATGTAGACTGGTGACGTGTCACTATTTCATAGTGATATTTTCGTAAACAAAAATGTCGGGACAAGAACAGGAAACAGAATGGCTCTAAACAATGAACTGATAACATTCCCTAATAAAATGATGATCGAAGTGTATTTTGAATATACTTTGTATTCAATACTATACTTGATGAACATTTACTTTTAATAAATCGATCGATATTTACAAAAAAAAAGGTGAAATCATAATTAGTGTTATGAAGAAATTCTTATTGAAAAAATATCTCGGAACTTATTTTCTAGTTTAAAAACACTATAAGTTGTAAGAATCAGAATGTGTTAAGAAATCATTATTGATTTATTTAAGAGTTGAATATGAACATTACATGACGATTATTAATTGATCGAATCGATATGATTAATATAGAATGTAAACAACAAGAAATAAAAGTTGATACAGATGAAGGTCTTGTAGATTCATTAACTGTTCAAATAATACTTTCAAGTTCATGTCTTCGTCGATTAATTATTACTTTTTCTACTCTTATGGAAGTAAATTAGAAAAAAAAACATAATTATTTTGTCTAAAATTTAGTTTTTTTAGTTATTCTATGGAAATAAAATAATTGAAGAAAAAAATTTTATTAAACAAACTGATATATTAAAATTAATCAATCTTATTCAAGTAAATATTTTCTGATGACTTTATATAAGAGTTAATATCTTTTCTCTTTTGGTTTTTGTCTCTAAAAGGAAACTCAAACAAAATTATCAATAATTCCGAAAAATTAACAGATGAATTATTACTTAATTTACTTCAAATTCGTATTTATTTATTCATGTTTCGACTTAGTTCTAATTATTCTGTACAAGTTTATTGAAATAAAAATAAAAAAACTTTTTTTCGAATATTTATCTTTGATCTCAAGATCATCAGTGTCTTACAGTGAAAGTCATAATATATAAGAGATGTATGTTGTTGTACTTTTCTCTTTCTTTTCAAGGTACAAGTCCGTCAATGACTATATAGATATAGAAGATCAAAATCGCTTGAGTCAGATATCGATCCATAGTTATTATAGCAATGTCAATGGAATAGATTCATTAAGATATTGTCTTAGCAATTTTCTAGACGACAATTAGGAATGAAGCTTTTTGTTCATGCTAGTGTGATATTATGTATTTGAATATTTTAGCTTGATTTCTAACTGAATTTATCTAATGAAAATTTAGTTTGCTAATAACGATTTCCATAAGTTTCGAAACTTCAATGTATATTCATTTTAACAAAGAGCCAGTTAAACAAGGTTCAAATATTTTTCTTTCAGGTCTTGCAACGAAACTACTTTTCTGATTGAAAAGATGCAAAAATTGTGTTTTGCTTTCGAAAAAACCTGAAATGTGGCATATATGTCTAGAAAAAATAGTAAATTTTGTGAAGAATCATCAAAATCTATAAGATTCTTAGATTGTACAGTCAAGTATGGCGCTGAATCTTATGGAATTCAGTGGCTGGTTCCATGCAAGACTTTCGAATCCCATATCATAATATAGATCTAGTAAAATCTAACATCTGATAATCTATAGCATTAGAGTTTTTAGTAAAAGTGGCAGCACCATGGAACAATAATGGCTCTAGGATTTTATGCGATTTTACGGGATTCTGTTTAGCTTCATATTGATCCAGAAGACTTTGCATGTAAAGATTCCATAAATTTTCGAGTACTTCCGGATCCAAAATACTCTTGTTTCTTCTTGACATATATGCCTAATGGTACCGTACGATGATGCTGTGTGATACCAACCACATAAGCGGAAAAGATAATACTGTTATAGCCTAGTGAAGGCAGATGAATCTACAAGTTGGAGTCTAAATAAAGACTCAAAATGTATATATACGTTTTCCGTCATCAAAAGGTTAAGTAGTTTTCATCATTTTCAACTCATTGAGGTTTCAAAGGAGCTAGTTTTACATTGGCAATTATTATTCGTGTTAGGGAGACTATAAATAAAGAAACTTCTCGCTTTTCGTTGATATCTAGCGTTTTCATCGTTTTGAGACAAATTTTTTAAATCACTGTGAAATTCTGTATAAATTTATATGTATTTTTTTTTGCCAGGGGGAGGTTTATTGTTACGTTCTGGAGCGCTTACAACATAGAGATACAAGTTAGAAAAAAAAGAACACAAGATTCTAGGTGCAAACAAAAGGAAAAAGGAATACCGCAATTAATCGACTAAGAAACTGAGGTTACGTTGTGACATGTGCAGGTAGGATAAAAGGAGAGAGAAAAAAAAAGAAAAGGAAGGGGAACAATAAAAACAAAAGAAGGGAAACTACAGATGCAGAGAGAGTGTATAAACTTGCGTTGTTTACCTGCTCTGCTAGGAACACTTGTCTTCAACAAATTCCAACCATACCACTAACAGAGATTTGTGATTCGCTATCATTTCCTTTACTCTCTTTTGTTGAAAGAAATGACCTAGTCCATCTTTTTCCCTTTTTTTAAATTCGGTCCAAAAAGATATATTATTCAAAAATAATGAGGATGCAAGATTCGACCTATACAGTTTGCTAAGTTTCCTTCGAATGAACTTTTTCTGTTACCCATCAAACTTAATATTAATGTTGAACTTTACAAGCAGTTATGCCGAAAATATGGCGTTTGAACTGCAGCATATATTTAATATTGGCTTGACTTTTGTTCTTTCATCTGCAGCAAAATTCCATTGATGTCTCAATAGCACTCTTGTAAACTGAAAAATAAACATAAATATTA